CCTATACTGAGAAAAGCCAGGTAGAAAAGAGTTTTCCATGAGATCATCTCAGGAAAGCTTTCTCAAAACTGAAGTTTTGATCCTCAAATAAGGAACTCTGATAGAAAGGAGTTTCTTAGGATCCCTCCCCAAGGAAATATTTATGGTTCCTAAGGTAATTAATTTGCTTGTCTGTTAAGTAATTCAATTTTAATTTCACATCAGCTAGGGACAAGAGACAGTGAACAGTAAAGGATGAATAGGTCAATTAGTCTATGATTAGTCCTATAGATAAAATGCATCCTAAGGTGTTATATGTGTAACCTAGACCTAAGAAATTTTTTAGGTTTCTTTTTTTGCGGTACTGGGGATTGAACTCGGGACCTTGCGCTTGCGAGGCAGGTGGTGGAACCACTGAGCTAAATCCCCGGCCCTCAATTTCCTTTTTAAAGCTAACATTCATTTACAATCCACTACTGTCTATGGTCACAAGATACTTAGCTGTGAAAAGAGAAAAAAGAAAATGTATAAGTAACTACTCATGAAATTTAACAGTTCTTGTGGCACATTTCATGGAGGCAAAGATGCACACTAATCATTTTATAAATCACTTCGGTCCTCATAGCAGTTGAAAACTTTGACAATATAATTTATTCAATATGAAGTTCAGGATTTATAATCAAATGTTATTAGCACCTTCCCAGTTGTATTGTGTACACATTGCCATTGGCCTGAGCACTTGAACAAACCAAACAAATTCCCTATTATTTGCTGATAAATCTTGTCAAATGGATCAGAAAGCAATGGTTTTAAGCATTTTGGTAATTTTATTAAACTAGCTGGAGAGTTTCAGAAGAGCTAAGTAGATTTAAATATTTTTCTTTTCTGACTCAGAATTCAAATGTTTGACTCAGAACTCAAGCATCATGGGGTGGCTGTGGTTATGGTGTAATGTGTGTGGACGTGCTTGTGTGATAACTGTCCCATCTCACTGCTCTCTCGATCTGTCTGGAATATCTGCAATAGAGAACATTTTAAAAATATACTATCTCAATTTTCTTCTTCTCCCAAAGGTTGACTTTTAAGGGCATTATTAGAACCACCCTTCTAAATGCATGGTTTTATGAGAAAAATCCTGGTATGTGTGCCTTCTTTGGGCAGGGAAAAAACAAACAGGAAAGGGATTTCATAAATCCAGGAAGCTTATGAGCTACTCAAGACAGAAAGAAGTGTCCATCCTACTTTATCCAGGCAAAAAAGTATATTCAATGAAGAAGAGCTTTTATATGCTGCATTTAATAATATTTAAACCAATTATCCCCTAAGGACAAACTGGGGAGACAGTGGCAAGTTGATAATATCAAGAGTATGCACTTTGGGAGAGGTTCCAAAAATTGATCCTAAGAAAGTGCTACAACATGGCATGTGTTACATCTCGCATTTAGATGTCCCTCCAAAGCCTCTTGTGGTCATAGGTGGGGCATTTTCAGAGGTGGCTGGATCTAGAGTGTGTGATGCTGGGATTGATTCATAGTGCAGTGCTAGGCTTAAGGGCACTAGGATTAAGGGTTATGAATGCTACCTGCCCTAAGTAGCCTGGGTAAGATATAAGGGACAGAAAGAGCTGTGGTCATCTCTTGTTGCTTTGCTACCTTCTGCCTGCCATGAACTGTTTCTCCTCTGCAATACCTATCTGACATGCCACCCTGCCTTGGAGCCAGCCGATTATGGACTGAAATCTCTACAAACTGTGAGCTAAATAAACCTTTCTACTTTAACTTTGGGTGTCAGGTATTTTATCTCAGCAATGAGAAAAGTAACTAACACATAATTTGGTACCAGAGAAGTAGGGTAATTTCTGTGACTGCACCTGACCATGTGATTTAGGAGCCTTTGAAGCAGACTTGAGGAAAGAGGAAGACTTAGGAAAGGGTTGGAAATGTTGGCTGAAAAAGTAGAGCTAGAATCCCTCAGGCTATATATGATGGGAGATTCTGATCAGAGCACAGAAGGCTGATAGAAATTCTGCTGGTAAAGACCAGGCTCAGGAGGTTTCTACTGGGAAGAAGGACTGCATAGGCCATTGGACACCAGACAATGTGTGTTATGCCTAGGCAGAAAGTTTGTCTGCATTTTGCTCCTGTCCAGAGACCTTATCTGAGACTGAGATTAAGGGCAGTGGACTAATTAATCTGGCAGAAAAAATTTTAAGACAGTCTAATGTTGAAGTGGTGGCATGGCTACTGTTGGGGGCTTTTAGCTAGATTTATGTTGAGAATCAAGAGCAAAGAGCCCAGCAGTATGATTTAAAACATTTTGAGTTTGGCCAGAAAGGAAGCTCCAGTAAAGCTGGGGCCTGCAAAGATGGAACAGAGGAGAAATTGGTCACTGAAAAGACTAGCAAGAAAAAGCCAAGTATTTCAGAAGAAGACAACAGAAAAGATGGTCTGAGAACATCACAAGAACCAACAGGACTCCAGTCTCTGCAGCCTCAGAGTTGCAAAGGTGAAAGACTTTGCTTTGAGAAGAGAGCCCCCAGAGTACCTTGTTCTAGGCTGGCAGTAGCCTAGGGAAGTTCTCAGGATTTGGTTCATAGGGACTAGACTCCTACAGCCGAGAGAGAGAGAAGCCAGGCTTCTGCTCCAGCTGGCAGCAGACCTTGGCATCATTCACCTGGTGCTGGTTTTGCATTCTTGAAGAATGCAAGAATTGTGGGGTCAGGAAGGTTTCAGAAGAAGGCCTGGGAAGCCAGGCAGTGTGCCTCTGAGCGGGTACTGTGTGAAGCTATGAGTGCGAAGCTAAAGGTGCAGTGGAAACCACAGAAGTTTGGAGAAGCTAGGAACAGGGATCATCTGAGGAAAACCATGAGGAAAGTACAGAGCTGGTCCCAGAGAGAAGCCATGGGATCTACAACCACCAGCAGTGCTATAGGGGCAGAGCCACCCAAGCCCATTAGAGTTCACAATTTGCCACAGATTGCCTGGGATCCTGGAAGTGGAACTGTGGAACTTAATTTTTGCCCTGTTGGGATTTTGAATTTGCTTTAGTCTCATTCCTTTGTATCCCCCATTTGTACCTTTTGGAATGAAAATGTCTATCTTATGCCATTGAATGTTGGAAGTGTTTAACTTTCTTTTCATTTGTACAGGGCTTACAGCTAAGAGTTTGCCTTAAGTCTCAGAGGAGACTTTGGACTTAAGACTTTTCAGCAATGCTGAGACAGTTAGGACTTTGGCAACTCTTGAAGATGGACTAAATGCCTTTTGCATAAAGGGATGTGCATGAGTCTGTAGGGGCTAGGGTGGAATGTTATGGCTTGTGTTTAGATGTCCCCCAAAGCTTCATGGGGTCATAGGTGGGGCTTTTTCAGAGGTGGCTGGATGTGGAGTAAGTAATTGATTCATGGTGCATTGCTAGGATCAAGGGCACTAGGATTAAGGGTGTGAGTGCTATCTACTCTAAGTAGTCTGGATAAAATATAAGGGATAGAAAAAGTTGTGGTCATGTCTTGTTGCTTTGCTACCTTCTGCTTGCCATGAACTGTTTCTCCTCTGCAATACCTGCCTTGGAGCCAGCCAATTATGGACTGAAACCTCTACAAACTGTGAGCTAAATAATCCTTTCCTCCTTTTTTTTTGGTACTGGGGATCAAATTCAGGACCTCGAGCTTTTGAGACAGCCACAGTGCCACTGAGATAAATCCCCACCCCAATCCTTTCCTCCTCTAACTTTGGGTGTCAGGTATTTTGTCTCAGAAATAAGAAAAGTAACTAAGACAGCAGAGAAAGAAGGGAAGCCAAATTCTGAGCAGCCGTATAAAAGTATGGGGTATAATGTTGATTTAATGTGAAGATAACTGGGCCAAACGATTAGTCTTCTGAGCACAGCGTCTAATGCAGGCATGCCTTAAACCACACTGAGAATGACTCATGTCTCAACAAGCACAATTCTAATCATCAAGAAGCCTCCTGCAATATCCTAAGTAGTAAAAACATAAGATACAGACTTTGTGATTTAAAGCACGCCTTACATTGGTGACAGAGTGAACCAAAATGAACTGACACTTATTAGAATTATTAAAAACTGACAAATTCATAAAGATTTTAAAATAATACAATGTTGAATAACCCTTGCTATTATAAAACTCGACAATTTGTTAAATTCTTAAGCAGCTTTCTCAGATAACAGTAGAAAGGCTACAACAAATCCCAAACACACACAAGCTTACCTTAAGCTTAGAATTAGTTGTTTATTACTTTCTATAAAAAGAACATTTATACAGCTAGAAGAAGCTCACTGAACAAGAGCAGTTGTCTGATAAATGGCTAAATAAGTTTTATTTTTACTGTACTGTGTTTCTAGAATAAAACAAGTTTATAAATAATCTGACATCTGTAATTTGACAATTGTCTTCTCACATATATTTTTAATGTGTGCTTATGCACTTTTAGGCAACAGAAAAAGTACAAGTATTCCAATTCTTAAAATGTAAAATATGTAAGTGAAGTACAGAGCAAAAATGTTAAAGATTTTTCATACATACTTAATATTTTAGGACACTCTGAATTCATAATTGTCTTTCCAATCTCCTACTTAAGGGGGAACAGAGAAGCAGGCCCTTTTTCCACCATATGATAGCTAAAAACTAGCTAAGAAAATCAGGACAGAAATAGGTAAAACAACTTGAGTGTACAAATACTCCAAATATACAGATTTTTTTTCTCTTTGTTTACTTTAAGAAATTTGAGAAGTACTATTTAATTTTAAAAGAAAAAAAAGGAACGGACAAATCTAACGACAAATAACCAACCAACAAGGCAGGTTAGGTTAACTGTTAAACTCAAGTCCCCAGCTACTGGCTGAACCTCTCTGATGGCCCCATAATATGGTTTTCCCAGGCCATCTCTGTGTCATAAATTCAGTAACAACACAGCAGCTGTAACCCAGAAAAATGGCTCTAGTGCTTTGGCCCCACCTCAGGGTAAAATGAATTGGGACATAAACGAGTATCTGCTACTTACTTTTCAGTGTTGTCTTCTGCTCAAGGGTCTGGCAAGTGTTCGATAACTCAGTATTTATAGTGTGGAGGTTCCGCTGCTCCAAAATTGCTTCCTCTAGTTCATGTGGTAGAGACTTAGCTTTTTCACTGGCAGAGTGAGCTGTTCGCTCTCGATCCTTCACCTGGATACATGTATGATTAACACTGGATTTTAGCAAGTGACCAGGAAAGAAAGCAATCAGGCACTCACTGTATTATGCACACGAAACTGAAAATATGCTTTTCTTCTCAGGGAAGTGATAAGCCTCTACTGAACTTCTGCAATTCCGTGTTTGCATGCGTTTGGTGTGCCCGAGCTATTTCTACAGCAGCAAAAGTCCTGATATGTCAAGTTGCCTCCTCCTGTAAAGTTGCCTCTTTCATCAGCAGGCTGTTGATACCGCCTCTTTTACAACTCCCCCCATACTTCCTCCGCTCACTGTAGTCACTAGGGACTGAACCTTACAGTTCCTCTTTTTTTGTTCCTCCTCCATTTTTACTTCATGGTTTCAAGGACATCTGAGGAGCTTTCTCCTGAGTCTAATGCAGCCAAGTCCTGCCTACCTGCTGCTTGGCTTCCTCCAGCTGTTTGCTGGCTTCTTGGACCTTCTTCCTGAGGATGGCTTCCTGGTTGACAGCATCTTCTTGCAGTTGTTTGATGGCTTCTAGTTGTTTCTGACTGATGTTTAAAAAAAAAAAAAAAAAAGAGTTCAAACCACAAGCTGGCAGTGACATTTCAACTAAGAGTCACTTTGGGAAACTGCGACAAATTTAAGCATGTACTTCCTGAGAGATCAGAGAAAAAAGTGAAAGTATTTACGTGCATATGAATTCTTCACAGATACAGAATTTTAAGCAAGTGATCACTTAGCCTTTGCTTTACAGATGAGGAAACTTCATTTCCTATGGTACACTGGTATTTTCAGTTCCCCACAAGCTATGTTCACAGCACTTGGCATCAGTCGCCTGCTCAGAAGGTGGCTCTACATTGAGGTCAGGCTGACAGGTGCAACGCTCACACTTCACAGCTAGCTTTTACAAAAAAGGAAAGGAAAAGAGACAGAGGAAAAGGAAACGAGAGTGTCTCATGACCTTAGCCTTTCTCCTCCAGGGTTGTCAATTATGGTACAAGTATTTTTCATCAGCTCAGGAAGAGTCACCCCCAAACAGAGACGGCTGTGGATATCCACACTGTAGTCCCCTTTTTCTAAAGCCCTTCCTCTCCCCTTTCGCCCCACCTCAAATCTTAGTATCATTGTTATTCCTCACTTGGATCCAATACTAATCCCCAAATATATACAAATATATCCATTCTGTTAATTGATAAATTATTCTGTGCTACATGTCAACATATCAATGGTTATCTGGAAACAACTGACTTATGGGCCTTAATTCAAAGGGATGAAAAATTGGGGACATTTCAAAGTGGTGAGGAAGATATTGCTAGGCTTAGGCCTTTTTCCTGCCTCTCCAACGTTAACACACAGTTAAGAGTTCTGCTGACATAAATCCAGACCTGATTACAAGGAGGACCACATCAGAAGCTAGGATGATCTTACAGAATGCTTTACCTCTGTGGTACACAAGAAAATTCTAAACAAAATAAAAACTAAATCACCACATGCTTTCTACTGAGCATTCCTCAATAGTTTAGATTTGGGGCTGGGCATTTAAGCTCACTGGTTTTGCCGCCTGCCTTGCAGCGCAAGGACCCGAGTTCAATCCCCGGTACCAAAAAAAAAAAAAAAAAGGTTTAAAGTTAGTGGGGTTTTTTTCAACTCTACCAGGAACACTTAATGTGACAGCTACGCACTGAATGTTTTTAGACATACAATACAGTAGTAACTAAAGGCTAATTTAATAAACTAATTTGTAGAGCAGATCACTAAAACTTATTCATGTTGAATAACTAAAACTTTATACCTGTTGACTTAGCAACTGCCTATTTCTCCCTCCCTGAGCCTGCAGCAAACATCATTCTACTTTTTGCTTCTAGAGGTTTAAGTATTTTAGATAAACTCAGATAAGTGGAATCAGGCAATACTTGTTCTGTAATTATTTCACTCAGCATGTCCTGCAGGTTCATAGTTATTGTCACATGTAAGGCTGAATACACACACATTCATCTATATTATTCATCCACTGACAAACATGTTTCTGCATCTTCATTATTATGAATAACACTGCAATGAACATGGAATGCAAATCTCTGAGATCTTGATTTCAAATCTTTTGGGTAAATATCCAGAAATGGGAGTCCCAGGTCACAAAGTAGTTATATTTTTAACATTCTGAGAAATATTCATATAGCCTTCTTTAGTGCTTCCATTTTATGTTCTGCCAACTGTGCAAAAGGTTTCCAGTTTCTTCACATCTTCACCAACAGGTGTTACCTTTTCTTTTGTATTCTATAATAGCCACTCTACAGGTATGAGACAATATCTAATTGTGGTTTTAATTTGCATTTCCTGGATTAGTAATGTTGAATATATTTTTGTATAATTGCTAGTCATTTATGTATCTCTGGAGAAATGTCTTTTCAAGTCCTTTGCCCATTTTAAATCGTTTGTGCTATATAGTTGAGTTCCTTATACATTTTGAATGTTAACCCTTCAACAGATAGTTTCCCAACATTTTCTCCAATTCTGTAGTTATTTTCTTTGTTGTGCAGATTTACAGTCAGATGTAATCCCATGTGCCTATTTTTGCTTGCATTTGCCTGTGCCCTTGGCATCCTAAATTTTTATCAAGACCAAAACCACAAAGCTTCCACAACACACTTTCTTCTATAAATGTTATAGTTTCAGTTCTGATATTTAAGTCTTTAATCAATTTTGAGCTGATTTTTGTTTCTGGTATAAGACATCTCTATAGAGTTCAATTTCATTCTTTGCCTGTGGATATCGTTTTCCTAGCACCCTTTGTTGAAGAAATTATCCTTTCCCTATTGAGTATTCTTTGCATTCATATTAAAGATCAGTCAACCATATATGCATGGATTCATTTCTATGCTTTTGTTTTTTCCCAGCACCAGGGACTGAACTCAGGACTTTGCACTTGTGAGGCAGACGCGGTGCCACTGAGCTAAATACCCGACCTCTATGCTCAGTTCTACTAGCCTACATGCCTATCTTTTATGCCAGTATTATACTGATTAACTACTGTGGCTTTGAAATTTTTGAAGTCAGAAAGGATAATGCCTCCATCTTTGCTATTATTATTTTGCTACTCTGGTTCTATATAAATTTTAGGATTTTTTTTTTCTCCTTCCATAAAAAAGCTTATTGGGATTTTTTCATAGGGATTGCACCGTAGCAATGAATTGCTTTGGGCAATCGAACAATGTTAAGTTTTCCAATCCCATAAACACAGCTTTCCATTTTTTGTGTGTCTTAATTTCTCTCAATGTTTTATAGGCTTTAGTGTCTTTATCTAAATTTATTAAGTACTGTTTTTTGCTATTATAAGATTTCCTTTTCAGATAGTTCACTGTTAACATGTAAAAATGGAACTGAATTTCATATGTAGATTTTGTATCCTGCAACTTTACTGAATTCATTTATTTCAACAAGTATCTTATGGAATCAATTTAGTTTTCTACATATAAGATCATTTCATCTGCAAACAGACAACTTTACTTCTGATTTATATGCTTTTTTCTAAATGTGCTAAGATCTCCCAGTACTATGTTAAATGGAAGTGGTGAGAGTGGGCATCGCTGTTATTTTTCCAGATCTCGGAGGAAAAGCTTTATATTTTTCATAGTTAAGATCTTACCTGTGGACTTTTCTTTTTTTGGTACTGGTAATCGAACTCAGGACCTTGTGCTTGTGAGGCAGGTATGGTGTCGCTGAGCTAAAGTCCCAGCCCTGTGGACTTTTTATAAATGACTATTATGCTGAGTTACATTCCTGAGTTTTTACGGGAAAGACTGAATTTTCTCAAATGCTTTCTCTACATCTTATAGAGCTAACTGTGGGACATCCTTTATTCTGTGAATGTGACAAATCACATTGATTTGCAATGTTGAATCATCCATACATCTCGGGGTTAAATCCCACTTGATAGTGGTTATAACCCTACCATGTTGTTGAATTTTGTTTGCTCATATTTTGTTGATGATTTTTTATCTATATTCATGAAGGATACTGGCCTGGAACTTTCTCAGTGTTACTGCCTGGCTTTGATATCAGGGTACTGCTGGCATGATAAAAAAAAAAAGTATTAAACACTTCCAAAATCACTTTAAGAGTTTCAGAAGGATTGACTTTTATTCATCTTTAGATGTTTGGTAAACCATCTCTTCCTGGGTTATTCTTTATTGAGAGGTATTTGATTACTGAATCAATCTTACTACTTATAGGTCTGTCAGATTTTCTATCTTCATTATTCAGTCTTAGTAGGGTGGATGTTTTTACAAATTAATCCATTTTCTTCTAGGTTATCTAATTTGTTGATGTAGCTCTGCTTTTAATTATTAAGTGTTCGTTTTATATATTTAGTGCTATGATGTCTTCCTCTCATTGTCTTCCTCTGACTTTTGATTTTTTTGTATTAATATGCTTTGATTTCCATTTTCCTTTTCTATATATCTTAAAACTTAAAAGTTAAAAGTGTAACTTATACTTTGTATAAGTACTTCCTTTGTGGTTACCACGGGGCCTACATAAAATACATCATGGTTATAACAGTCTGACAAGCTGGTAACAACTTCAATAATAAATACTCTATACTCTTACTTTTCTCCCTCTACACACTTTATATGTTGTTGATGTCACAGTTTACATCTTTTTATATTGTGTATTCAATTAACATTTTTACACTTTATACTTTGTCTTTCATCTTTTACGTTAAAATCAAAGTGATTTACCCACTACCATTCTAGTGTTCGATCGTTTTTATATACTTACTTTTATCATTACATCTTATGCTTTCGTGTGCTTTTTGTATTGCTATTTAGCATCGTTTTATTTCAATATGAAGAATTCCATTTACCATTTCTCATAAGGTAGGTCCAGTGGTGATAAATTTCCTCAGCTTTTGTCTGCCAGGAAAGTCCTTTCTTCTTTACTTCCGAAGGAGAGTTTTGCTAGGTATCACATTTTTGTGCTTTTAGCCCTTTCACTCTTTTATCCCAATCCTTTCTGGCTGCAAGGATTCTACTGAGAAATTTGCTGGCAGTCTGATAGGGTGTCTCCTTGGCATGTGCGGAATGCCTTTTATCTGGCTGCTTTCAACATTCTACTTTGACTTCTGACTATTGTATAATGCACCTCAGTGGGAATTTCTTTGAGCTCATTTTACAGTGGTTAGGCTATCTATTTCTTCCACACATTTAAGAAATGTTGGGCCAGGGATTTAGCTCAGTGGTCCCTGCCCCATAAGCACAAGGTTCCAAGTTCAATCCCCAGGACTAAAAAAGAAAGACAAAAAGAAAAGTTTTGGCCGTCATCTCCCTGAAGAGCCTTCCTGCCCCTTTCTCACCTCTGGTACTAAAGAAATCCACAACTATTCAGCTCGATGGTATCCCGTGAAACTCGCCAAGTTTGTTCACTCTTCCATTCTTTTTCCCATGATCCGTATTCAAGTGTGCTGATCTTTTCTTCTGTTTGATCTAGTCTGGTGTTGAACCCTTCTAGTGAATTTTTAGGTCCAATTATTCTTTAGCTCCAGGATTTTTGTTTGGCACTTTTTAATATCTTGTTAAAATTCTCATATAGTTTCTGACCTCACTGTTCATCGTTGATTCTCTGAACAGGTAAACCATTTACCTCCATTTCACTGGGGTCAATTTCTGCAAATTTATTTTGTTCCTTTATTTGGAATATATTTCCCTGTTTCTTCATTTCCTTGTACTCCTGTCATTTTTATCTATGCATTAGAAGAAGTAGCCAGGTCTTCCAGTCTCCACAGACTACTGGACTCATATAAAAGAAAAACCCTTAATCAGTCCAGGTAGGGATCCTAGGAGCCTCTCAAACATTCACACAAATCCAAACCACTGTCCTCAGCAACCCCAATCCTCTGGATCAGCCCCCAGAAAAGTTGGAACTTTGGATGGTGGTCCAACTCTCCCATCATCTCACCTCCAGGAATCTGAGATTTTTCATCTGCTTGCTTTGCTGTGAGCTGGAGAAGGAGCTCTGAAAAGTACGTACATACTACTTCTCACTGCCTCCTTTGTTTTCAGTGTTCCACCTCAATCCCAGCATCTAAAGTATTCCAAGGACCATCAGCACTCCAAGACAGATGAGAGAAAAGCCTTGGGAAGCCCCATAAAAAGATGAGTATTGAGCATATGGTCTAACTCTTCCCACAGAGAGAAGCTGAGTGCTAGGTGTTTCCTTCCAATCACAAAACACTCTGCTGGAGGGTGGAGATTAGAGGGTCTTGATTTTCCTATCAAACTTGATGTGGCTGGTTTCATTTTAATGGAGAGTACTGGAGACTTTCAACTGGTTTCTGGATTTCTCAGAAAGGGGATCTGTCCACATCCTGTTGTTGAATTAGTAAATGCAGGGCTTCCTTGTCTCTATCTTCCTCACACTACCTCCCCTGGGGGTTGTTTGTTTCTGCCATGCTGGCCACTGAACATAGGGCCTTTACACTGAGCTACATCCTTAGCCCTTTTCATTTCGAGACAGGGTCTCCGTAAGTCACAAAGTTTCCCAGACTAGGCTCGACCTTGCAATCCTCCTGTCTCAGTCTCCTGGAATGCTGGGGTTACAGACATGCACCATCATGCCCAGCTCCCCTGGGTTTTTAAAAGACATCTGTTTTATGTACTTTTTTCCTAGGAAAAGCCTAAGGTCTTAAGAGTTTTCATTATCTTCCAAGAATCATCAGAAGTCCACATTTAATAATACTAAAATTTTCAGTAACTGGTATGTATTTCTTATACGAATCATTTTTCTGGATTTTAGGAGTCATAACAGTTTTAGAAATAGAATTTTTAAAAATTAGATGGTGCCATCTGTTAAAAATACTTAACAGATGTTGCATCTTTAAAGTTTTCTTCTCCCCTGAAAATTTTCATTATCATGTTAAGAAGTACATATATTAGCTTTGGGTATGTTTGTAAACCCAACAACTCTCCTTGATAACATGTTCTAGGGCTGAATCTTTATTTCTATTCCAATCCCTACCAAATAGGCCTTTCTCCCAGACTTCGCCATCTAGTTTTCAGACCAAAATTTTCCAAGTTAAACATGACTCCTCTTTCTTGCCTTCCCCACTTCTCTTCTACCAGCCTGTCAGATCTGATCCACCCTCAAATACAGCTTTAGTCCAATTATCTCTCATTACCCTCATGACTTCACCTTGGCCCACAATATAGCCTGACCTATTACAGTGACTCTCTGGCTGTTTTCAATGATACAGTAAATATGTTACATTTCAACACACACACACATACACACACACACACACGTAGCTGAAAAAAATTGCATTAAACTACTTTCTCTTACTATATGTAATGATTTCTGAAGTTTTACTTTTTTCTTTATTAAAAAAATTCAGTCCAAATTAGGCATATTGACTTATCAGGATCTCTGAATGGTGATGTATTGTTGAAAAAACTCCTCTCACTGGTCTCTGTGTTCTCTCTAATGACAATTCTCTACCTGGGACATCTGTCAAAATACAATCCTATCTCTTGTCTGCTCATATGAGGCCTCCTACCCCACCCGGAATAAAATACAAATTCATCCACCGGGACTCCAAGGCCGTGTATGACCTGAGCCCTCCCTGTCTCTCAGGCCCCATCTCCTAGCTCTGCCCAGCACTCGCCCCAGCCGCAGCAGTGCTGACGTCGCACTGCCACTCACACACACCAAGCCTCAGGTTTCTTACCAGCTCACTCCTCCGCTGAGAACAGACCCCAGGTCATCCCATAGCTCACTTCCTACACAACTCTGGGCTCCCTATCCCACCCGGCACTGGATACAGGACAGTCCCTACCATTCTTAAAGTAAGCTCCTCATCCCTTCATCCTGTCTTGTCTTGTTTTAATTTTCTCCAAATCACTCACCGCTTTTTGGCATCACAGTGTCTAATTATGTTTGTTATTTGCACCTCTTCTTTCATGGAGGCAGAGATTTCTATCTGGTTTCCTATAATTCCTGAGCACCTGCAGAGGGAGGAAGGAGGAGGATCCTGGGAAAAAGCAGGTACTCGGATGGGGATGGAGGTTGTATGACTCATAACTTGCTTTCCTCACCAAGGCCTCTGAGAGCAGTTTCTCTTTTCACTGCCTGTTCCCTACCCACTCAATTCTTCTACTCCTCAGGGCTGCAGGCTATTTGGCTCACCACATCCTAACGAACACCGTTGAACATCCACCTGTAAGAAGCATTCTTTGCCTCATTCTCAACACAGACTTTTCTCTCCCATCCCCACAAAGCACTCCCTTCATTTTCTTATGCAGTTAAAACCCAGTCAAATTATTTTGTGTGTGGCCCCTACATAGCTCCATCTGTTTTCCATTGTGTCTATAAGACATGGGCTACACCATCTTTATGTTGGTAAAGGGTATTTTTCCCAGTGCTAGGTTCCCAGAATACTTTTGTTTTTTGTTTTTGGTACAGGGGATGGAACTCAGGACCTTGCACTTGCGAGGCAGGCGCCGGAACCACCGAGCTAAATCCCCAGCCCTCTCAGAATACTTTTAATGACTACTGTATCAGATTTTAACAAGTCAACTGTGAAAGATTAATAGTTGAAACCAGTACAGGTTTTTAAAGTCAGATATATAGGTCTGAATCCCAGCTGCTACACAATCTCAGCTGGGTAGCCTGAGGCAAATTACTGAACCTCTCTGGAGATAAATATATGCCCAGTTCTTAGCACTGCATCTGATACAATACTGGCTGGGAAAATGACACCTGCTATTATTTAACTGAACTGCATATGCATCTAGTAAGCTAACACAGAAGGTTCACTCATCAGAGATGATCCTAGTGCAGGCGTCTCTCCAAGTGGTTCTTTGTTGCTAGGTAGGGTTTTAACATCCTTTCCTGTGGAGATGGTGTCTGTGTAAGGAAGCTGCAAATCCACTTGACCCACAACTTTACCACCAGGGGGAAGTCTGGGCTCCCTGCTTTTTGTGGAAAACAGATGATCATTTTCTCAAGATTTTCTCCTGGTATCAATCTCTTTGTGGTATCCCGTTTCCTCAGATTAGGGGAATAAACAGTCTCTTGCTATTTTCTGTAAGTCTCTACACTCTTTTTTTTACTTTGTTCAAGTTTAACATCTACCCACATTCATTCAGAAAGCAGTTCTTAGGTGAGTGTTAAGTACAGTACTAGCAACCATAAATAGTGGTCAACAAAAATATAATCACTGTCCTTGTTTAATATGTGGTTTACAGTGTAAAACTGTCAAGAATTTTCCCATAATCATAAGTATTGAGGTTAGAGGGAAAATGAGTTGGCAAGTGATTTCACATTTATTATCCTCTAATCTCCATGATTTCAATTAACTGAAACTTCATTGACTGGTGCATAATGTGGTATATTTACACAAAGACAGGACAGACCCCTAAGAGATAGGCATCAACAGATCAGGATTTATATTCTAGTACTTCACTTTAAAAAAATCAGAAGACTTGATCAATTCACTGTGCCTCGTTGCCTCTGTCTCCTATAAAATTATGAGAGTACTGAAAGTCCTTTAAGACTCCTTCTGGTTAAAAGAATTCTGTAAAGGGCCAGGGATTTAGCTCAGTGGTTCCGCCACCTGCCTCTCAAGCGCAAGGTCCTGAGTTCGATCCCTGGTACCAACAACAACAACAAAAATAACTCTGTATTCCATAATTCCAGATTCTCTAGGGAAAAATAATTCATTATATTGGTTTTCACAGATTTTTAACGTGCACCATTTGCAATTGTGAACATCTGAGTAAATTTCATATTATTTCCCATTCAAAATTGTCAGAATCTCTTCTCTAAAGAAGATTCATCTTAAATCAAGGTGCACAACTTGTAAAAATCACAAGGTGTGGCACAATCATAAACATGTCATGTACATTAAGCATGAGTTTCTTATATATAAATGGTCATCACCTGGAAAAAAACTCTTTTTGGAAATAAAGATATTCCAGCCTGAATTCCTTCAAAATCTCTATTAATTTGACAAACACTTTATCAAGAGATTCTTTGTGATTTCCCAAGCTGATCAGACTTAATCTGCAAAGATTTAGCTTCTTTTTCTTGACATGCTTGAATTCCTACAAAGAAAAGTCACAAAACAAACTCCAAAATTTCAATGTTTAATGTACACAAATGACAAAAAAAAAAAAGATAAAATAGCATGGACATTTCCATCTCAATGGTACTCACTGCTATTGGATCCTGAAATTATAATTGAATAGCTATCAATTCTCAAGCAACCAGAGATTACTGTATGACTTGACTATCTGAACATACAGCACGTACCTATCATGCAGCTAACACTGAGTTATATTTTCTTTTTCTTAAAGTAAGTGGGTTTTTTACCATCTCCTCAATCATCACAATTGCTTTAGAACAAGGTGAGACAAGTAATACAATCATAGTATTTGCTGATTATCATATTCAAAGGCAAATTTTACAACAGGTTAGATTGGGAAAGGAGTTGTCAATGTACAGACACACACACACACACACACACACACACATTCCAATGTTGCCAATATAATATTCCAGAGTATTTCCTTTACCCTAATTTAGTGGAGGCTGATGGATGCTAGCAAGCCTGGTGTAGCTACTACTATAGGTGATGGGTTACATTAAAAAGATTGTTTCTTATATGCTTCCTTTCTAACAACGCTGAGAACAGCTACCAAAGAAGATCCTGCTTTTCAAATATTCTGCCATTTTCTGAGATAATAAAACTGTCAGAGATTTGGTGATACGATCCTTTCATACATTAATCATTCTACCAGAGTTAGAGAATTTTAATGTGCCAAGGAAAAATCCAAGCTTAGACTAACCAGTTCTCAAAAGGATACAAATAAAACACCTTTTTCCATTAAATTGTCTTATTAACTCCTTGTCTCTCCACCAAGTTTCACACATCCTCACATTCCTTATTCTCACTCTCATTCCTTACCCTCAAGATCACACATATTTGCTGTAACTCTCCCACCCATACATTCACCCACCCATACTCCTACACACCCCCAGACACACACTCTGTACTCATCATCAGACTAAGCAGATAGTCTTAGAAACTGTGCTGTATATATTCAGTATCGCCTGAGTTATCAAAGTGGAAGAAACCCCCAGAAAAATCACAATATACACAACACTTACAGTAAGTTGCTGCACCCACTTTTCTTTGAGAGTAATTTCTGGATTAGTTACCCACTGGAAGGCACTATCAATGAAGGTTCCAACATCAGACATTTCTTTGAACTGGCAAAAAGAGAAAGAGTTCTGCATATTCAACTAGGAATTCAAATGAAAAGCACATGGTATTACATAATGAGATTTAATTTAGACTGAACTTCTACTATATAGGTAATTTAGGAAGATGTTAGGCACAATTTCTTTTCATCTAAAGTCCTTCTGGGCCAGGGATTTAACTCAGTGATTCTACCACCTGCCTCACAAGCACAAGGTCCCGAATTTGATCCTGGGTACCAAAACAAAACAAAAAAAATAAAGTCCTTCTTCAGCTTCCTTTATTCAAGGCTGTGGTCATAACATGCTAACTCTTATCAGGAATTCGGTTTACACTCAGTATATACAGTTAGAATGATTTTCCAGAATACAGGTTTTTCCTTTTCCTTGTCCCTTCAAATAGAAAGAAACAATTTCATTGATTTTTATCATCTATCAAGCTCTATGCTACCTACCATAGGCTCACACTGTCAAAAGAAACTAGAAATACAAACATGAAGGATTATCTGATTTCTCTAGCTATCTAGATTTTCCACGTGAATTATCAAAATGCAGAAATAAATACTAGCTAGTAGGAAAAAGGATAATAAGAGAAGAAAACTTTCCAATAGAGATCATGCCTTCAAACCTTTGCTACTAAGGATTAAACCACAGGAAAAACAATCTCCAGCTATCATATCTAAAGGTAAACCTCTTAATCCTGATTGGCCCAGCACTAGAATATCAATTTTATTAGGTTCTGAGGAAGTCTTTTCATAGTAGGATTAATTTGGGTCTCAACAGAACACAGATACATTTGGTATCAGCAAATAGACTGTAATCAGTAATCTAGAGATATTCCTAGACAGTGAAACCTCTCAAAACTGTATATGTATGCCATAAAATACCAGCGTCTGAAGTGTAGCTGTGAACTCCATTCCCTTTTGTTCAGGCTGTCTGAGGAACAGCAGTATTTGTTGGTCTGTCACTGCATCCAGGGATGACAAGCTGGTTGAACTGCACTGGCACTCAGTTTTATTGTTCTGAAACAGTTACCAAAATGCTCACAACTCCATGACTAATAAAAAACATTCATTACATTTATTTTATAAAAACGATGCTCATGGGCAATTGTCCTTAGCATTCAGTTTCTAAGTAGTCTTGTGGAATCTTCCACAACCTCAAAGGACTGTGGACATTTTCTCTCAAAAATGGCTTCATTTGAACAATTATTTTTTCCCTTAAAGGAAAATTCGTTTATGAATAGATACATTCACAAGTAGGTGACAAAGTCATGACTCTAATTTTAACACAAAAACAGGGGGGCATAAAGAAATTCACAGGGGGAGTTAGAGATAGAAAGGGGAAACTATATTCTGAGGAGACAGGAAGAGCTCCGGGAATCAAGAAACAGGCGACCGGAAACGAAAAAGCATAGAGAAGCAAAATGGTAATACAGAGAAAAGTGAGAAATGATCCACACCACCAATCACAACTCCCAGTGGTGGGGGCAACCTGAATACACAAGTACCAGAGTGGTGCTGGGAATCAAACCTTCAAAAGACGTCTGCTCACCAAGCTGACCCTCACATAGATATGGCAGAGGTATCTACACTTCGACAGAAGTGCAAATCTCAACATAGAAATAATCTGATAAAATGTAGCAACACAACTCCTGCAAAGTTTTGGAACTCTTTGGTCACTGAACTCAAAGGTACTGAAACGGATGCAGTGGCTGGCAAAGAATTCAAAAGATTGATTTTTAAAATGACTAATGACTTCAAAGAGGTCACAAGCACCTGAATGAACTAAGAAAGACAATGAAGGATATAAGAGAGCAATTCAATAAAGAGATTCTGAATAAGAAATCTTGGAAATGAAAAGCTCAATCCGTCAAATCAAAAGCTTAGAGGAAAGCACTACCAATAGACTAGGTCATGCAGAAGACAGAATTTCAAGGCTTGAAGACAATGAATCACCACATTGGACACTAATAAAGAAAAATAAATTATTAACAAAATATGCAAGACAACTAGGAAACAATTAAAAACACCAAATTTATGAATTTTGGTAAATAAGAGGATGCCAAGTATTGACTAAAGGCAGAGAAATTCTATTCAGTGAAATAATAGCAGAAAATTTCCTAAATCTTGGGAAAGATTTGGACCATCCAAGTACAGGAGGCCAAATAATCAAAACCAGAAAAGAACCTCCCTGTGTTTTAACATGCCAAGAGTATAGAACAAAGAAAGAATATTGAAAACTGCGAAAGAAAAATGCTGAGTCACTTATGAAGTCAAATTCATCAGAATAAATTCAGATTTTTCAGCAGGAACTGTATAAGCTAGAAGAGCATGGAATGATGTATTTCAAGTCCTGAAAGAAAATTTCTGCCAACCTAGATTACTACATCCACAAAGGTAACCTTCAGAATCGAAGGAAAAATAAACACCTTCCATGATCATCATAACTAAAGAAATTCAAGGCCAGCACTGAAAAAGATATTTAACGGAATCCACACATGAGGAAGATAGACAACCACAAAGGCTCATGAAAAAATAAATATCACTAGAAGACCAGATAAACAAGTGAGAATTAGGGGGAAAAAAGCATTAAAAAATAAAATTATAGGAATTAGTATACTTTCCATAATGACCCAGAATGGTCTCAATCCTTGAATTAAAAGATATAGACAGGCAGATTAGGTTTAAAAACAAGACCCAACTTATTTGCTACCTGCAAGGAACACACCTCACCAGCAAAGACATACAGACTCAAAGTGAAAAGATGAAAAATGGTATTCCAAGCAAACAGAAACTAACAGCAAGCAGGAGTATCTATACCCACATCTAACAAAACAGGCTGCAAGACAAAATTAGGCAGAAAAGACAAAGAAGGTCATTACATATTGGTAAATGGAACGATCTACCAAGAAGATATAATGATTATAAATATTTATGCACTGACAGTGCACTCAATTTCATAAAACAAACACTACTGGACATAAAGGCAATGAAACAAGCATGTCCATACTCGGCACTCTTATTCAATGTAGTACTTAAAATTTTAACCAGAGCAATCAGGCAAGATAAAGAAATAAAAGGGATCCAAACAGGACAGAGGAAGACAAATTAGACTTGTCTGCAGATGAATTGATTCTATATTTACAGAATTCTGCCAAAAAACTTAGAATAAACAAATACAGCAATTTACCAAGATACAAAAATCAACACACAAAAATCAATAGCTTTTCTATACACAAATAATCAACCCACTGAGAAGAAATTAGGAAACTAAGTCCATTCACAATTGCTTCAAAAATAATACATTACCTAGAAATAGACCTAAATGAAGAGGTAAAAGACCTCTACAGCAAAAATTGCAAAATATGGAAGACAGAAATTGAAGACACTAGAAGATGGAAAGACTTCCCATGTTCATAAACTGCCAGAATCAATAATGTAAAAATGGTCATATTACCAACAGTGATCTACTTATTTAATGCAATCCCCATCAAAATAGCAATGACATTCTTCACAAGACTAGCAAAAAAAATCCTAAAATTCATATAGAAGCATAAAAGACTCAGAATAGCCAAAGCAATCCTGAGCAAAAAGAGCAATCTTAGAGGTATCATAATACCCAATTTCAAAGTTTACTACAGAACCATAATAACATGAACAGTGGGTTATTGGCATAAAAATGAATATGTAGACCAATTAAAAAGAATAGAGATCCCAAAAATAAATCCACAGAGCTACAGCAATCTGATTCTCAACAAAGATGCCAAAAATATATGACAGAAAAAAAAGACAACCTCTTTAACAAATTATGCAGGGGAAAAAGTGACACCCATATGTAGAAGATTGAAGCTAGATAGTTATCTCTCACCCTGCACAAAAAATATCAACTGAAGATGGACCAAAGACCTAGGTACAAGACCCAAAACTTTGAAACTGTTGGACAAAAACAGAGAAAACACTTGAATTCATAGGCCCAGGCAACAACTTCCTGAACAAGACTCGAATAGCTTAAGAAGTAATAGCAAAAATCAATGAATGGGATCTCATTAAATTATAAAGATTCTACACTGCAAAAGAAAACAAGCAAATGAAGAGATAACCTACAGAACGGGAGAAAATATTTGCCTGATACTCTTCTGACAGAGGATAGCCAGAACAGATAAAGAACAAAAACTTAATACCAAAAAATAAGTTATTCAATCAAAAATGGGCATTTCTTAAGGAAATACAAATGGTCTATAAAAATAATGTTGGGGTCAGGGATGTAGGTCGTGCTGCCTGGCAAGCACGAGGTCCTGAGTTCAACCCCTGGTACCTCCACCAAATAATAATAATAATGTTGGCCATCTTTAACAATCAGGAAATGCAAATCAAAACTACACTGAGATTCCATCTCATTTACGTCAGAATGACTATCATTAAGAATTTTAAAAATGCTAATGAGGACACAGGGAAAAGAAATCCTTAATTCACTAGTGGTGGGACTACAAATCAGTAGAGTCATTACAGAAATCAGTATGGAGATTAATCCACAAAATGAACAACAAAACTACCATATGATTCAGCTCTACCACTCCTCTACATAAATTTGAAAGAATTAAAGTCAGCATACCATGGAGATGTCTGCATTCTCATGTTGATCATGGCAGAATTCACAGTAGCCAAGTAATGGAATCAGCCTAGGTGCCCATCAATGGATGAATGGGTAAAGAAAATGTGGTATGTATGAACAATGGGGTATAATTCACCCATAAACCACCAAATGCTATCATTTTCAGGAAAATGATGGAACTGAGGATCATCACGTTAAGTGAAATGAGTCACATTCAGAAAGACAAGTTTCACATATTTTCCCTCATATGTGGAAGATAGAAAAAAACACATGAAAGTAAAAGGGCAACTGTTAGAGAAGAAGGGGACTAGGGAGAGATGAGGTAAAGGAGGTTAATGCAGATGAATATGATCAAACGGTGCTATATGCATGTATTAAAATTCCACAGCGATGAGACGCAATAATTAATATGTACTAGTGTATATGTATGTGAGCACGCCCGCGTGTAACAAAACAAAACAAAACACGGGGGCGCTCAATTGATCTCACTGGAAACATACTGATTCCTTTTGTCTCCTTCCCACTTACTATAATCACGTGCTCAGACAATGCTTCACAAAGCATCTTTTCTGTACTTCTCTCAAAGTCTGTCTCCTGCCACATTTAAGATCTATGACAATATTTTTAGCTTTCTTCTTGCTCACTACTGGAGTCTCAAGGACTCATTTCCATGATTCAGTTAGAAGGCAAACTTTCCAACCTAACCTACAGGGGAGCAAACCTCCGAGCCAGAATTTTACCAGCTGAGAAGGCCCTGCTGGGTAATACAGAATTTTATAAGCCTGCATCTTGACATCATTATTACCTCAGAGGACTGAGGATAAAAACACACAGCCGTGGCAGATTTGCCACAGTTCCATTCAGTCTGGCTGTTTGGCTGCTTTTCAAAATCACAGGGAGATGATGAGTATTTGAAACAGAATGTCACAAAAACGCAGCCTTTGGCAGAATATCCAGGGCTGCTCCAGACGGCTTCTGGCGAAGGCAGCATATGTTGTCCCTGCCTCTTTGGCAGGAGCGATTCACACAGCATTTGCCCCAAAGACAGGTTCTCCTGCCTTCAAGGTCGTGTCATAGCTGTAACAGGAGGGCATCCCGACGTCCCAGTTGTCCCCAGACATGGAGACCCCGAGGTGGTGCAAAGAAAGCGATTTGCCAAATAAAACATTTCCTAACATAGCAAGCACAAAACTGGAAAATACAAAGGAGTAAAAATGGGGCAGGGGGCACAACAGTTCCAAGCCCAAAAAGGCTGCCCATGTTGAGTGTTTTTCCCTATGTTGCAAAGAATTAGGTCTAGCAAAAAACAGATTTTAAAAAAAAAAATTCATTTTACTACCATTTAAAAATTAGCCACAAAAAAAGATAAACGAGTCATTTCTAGGAAAATGGATGCACCTGGACATCATAAATTTTTTTTGTTATATTGAGACAGGCTCTATGTAGTTCAGGCTGGACTTGAACTCATGGTGATCCTCCTGCCTCAGCCTCCTGAGTGCTGGGATTACAGGTGTGTGTCACTATGCACAACTGAGATCATAATATTAAGAGAAGTAAATCAGACACTGAAGTTTAAATATTGCATGGTTTCTTTTACATGAGAAACCCAAATTATAAATAAAGAGCAAAATAAAAGATAGATAATAGAAAGTAGGGAGCTAGATCTTTCTCAGTTGGGAAGGAGATCAAGAGATTGAGAGCGAGGGGAGAGAGAGGGAATGAGAAAAGGAATGAAGATGTGTTACATCCACGACCACCTGCAAACAAGGAAGGGCAACATTGCATACTGCAAATGTACACTAATTAAAACATAAAAAAAAAGGAAAGCATATAATTAGGGCAATTGAAATAAAATAAGCTACAAAAATTCTAGTTTCTGTTTAGAATGTAATAGGGTCATAAAATTGGGTCGGTATAATTAGTAAAGCAAAGAAATCGGTGTTATCTCTGGGCATCTTAATGTTTGGTAAATATATTTGAGGACTTCAGAAAATACTAAAACAAAGCCAGGCATGGTGTCACATTCCTGTAATATGGCACCTAGGCGGCTCAGGCAGGAGGATCACCATGAGTGCAAGGCCAGCCTGGGCTACAGAGTGAGACTCTGTCTCAAAAAAACAAAACAAAATCAAATGAAAGAACGAACTAAAACAGAGCTGATGGCTCTCCACTGCTACCTTGAGGGCCCTAGAATGGGGCTCGGTGCGGGTGATCTGTCCAGAAAAGACTAAGAATATGCAAAGACATCTAAATTTCAAGTCATGAAACATACACTTCCACAAAGCCAGGCCTGGGCCTTGCTGTAGCTCCTGGCCATTTCTAGAAATGGTCCTTTCCCTCCAGGCTAAGAGATTTTAGACTCTGGAATCTAAAAATTATCAACAAATATCCTCAAAATGTCCTGGGTGGTTTTCAGCAAGCTACAAACCTTCACTTAATAGTTAGCTATACATGAAGGGTTATTTTTTAAGCTTTCCACCTGATTATAATGACTTACCTCTGCTGACTGGGCAAGGATGAGCTCACGACATAAAGAATTTTCTCCTTCAGAGAGGTCGCTGCTGGGCTCTCTACCGGCATTCAACTGAATCCCATTTCTTGAAAAAACAAGAACAGTTGTCCAGCCTAGTTAAGGCTCCAACAACATGCTTGAAGTCACAAGAGGGTTCATTCATCATCAAACAGCAGTGAGCCCAGAGAGCCCAATTATACCCTTATTAGGGCACAGGGAGAAGAAACAGTCTCTGTCCCCCAGGACATGCAGACTGGTGATCCTAAGAGGTCACAACCAGTCAGGCCCCACTTCTTCTTTTCTTTTTTTTTAAATGGTACTAGGCACTGGAACCAGGCCCTTCACACTGAGCTACATTCCCAGACCATTTCTTATTTTCATTTTTTAACTTTGAGGCAGGGTCTTATTAAGTCTCTGGATTTCCCAGGCTGGGCTCAAACTCGTGATCGCCCTGCCTTAGCCTCCCAGAGCACTGGAATTACAGGCCTAGCCACCTTTCTTTTCTTTTTTTTTTTTTTTTGGTACCAGAGATCAAACTCAGGTCCTTGTGCTTGCGAGGCAGGCAGCGGAACCACTGAGCTAAATCCCCGGCCCTCACATTTCTTAAAAAGAATTGCAGGGCCAGGGATTTAGCTCAGTGGTTCCGTCGTCTGCCGTGCAAGGACCTGAGTTCAATCCCTGATACCAAAAGAAATTACAAAAAAAGTGACTAAAAATCTAGATTTTTTTTTCTTCCAAAATCAGCAGATGTGGGCACACGAGGTCCATGGAGTCTTGATATAAAAATTAGTTAGAGCTAGGTAGAGTATCTGCTTCTGCCTGTGAGTAATGCCCATTTCTCACTTGCCAATCACATTCTGCAAGTGTTTGTACTCATTCTATTGGCTTTAGTCACCTTCACTGTCAGAGTGGCTGTGGATCCTGGTCTAATATATGCTTTCAGAAATAATTTATAACATGACAGGTATTCAGAAAGAGGTAAGATCATGTACTATGCTTGTTCCCATGGTTTTTACAGATAAGTAGGTCATGTAGGTGAAGTGTTCATGAATGGGGTTAGTGCCTCACAAAAAGAGGCCAGAGAATCACCTTGTTCTCTCCCCTACAAAGAGAAGTCAGCGGCCTGCAACCCAAAACAGGTCCCTCGAACTCAACACTGATGGCTCCCTGATCTCAGGCTTCCAACCTCCAGAAACATAAGAAGTAAAGGTCTGTATTGAAGGCTCCCAGTGTGAGCTGTTTTGTTACAGCAGACCAAGCTGACTGAGAAAGAAAGGGTCATGGGAAACTCGTAAAGGAGTTCCCAGGGAGAAAGAGGTATCACAGAAAAGGTACAAAGCACTGCAAATATAGCCGAGTGGCACGGGTTGCTCTCTACTTACAGGATGAGCTCCTGTTGCAACTGCTGTAACTCATAAGCCAGTTCATTTTTCTCCCCTCGTAAATTCTGGAATCACACACAACATTAGGCTGCATATGCCACTTTCATGGGGAATTTACATTTAACAATCCTACCTTGCAGGCTGTAGAATGACAGCATACCTCTATGATGCTTCTGTATTCTATGATGGTTGATTTTAGTTCTCCTATTCTTAAATCCTTCTGAAAAGTACAAGAATGAAAGGCAAAAACATTAATGGATCCACCAAATTGTATCAGCCCACCACTGTGAGCCACAGTGGAGTCTTAAATACCCAGTTACTGTGGGATCTTCTACCAAGAAATTAACCAGTGTTTATGATTAAAACATGCACGTATAGGACAATACACCTGTGCAACAGGTGTTTTGTCTGCTCCAATGGAATCAGCCTGTAATCAGCCATGATTGGCACACAGGAAGTGTTCAGTCAATGGATGCTGGGCAGGAATGCAGAATATAGAAAGTTGGGGGGGAACTGAGTGACCACTACTGTCTCTTATAATATCATCATCATTACCACAATGTCATTGTTGGAACAACATTCAGCATCTTGGTCACGGTCCACTAACATGTAGGAGAAGTAGAAGAGTGGCAAATATTGGTCTTCTCTTCCCTGTCTCATTGGATTGTGGACATTTGTTCACTTAGGCTGTGTTCTTTTTGTGTCTCTTAAAGTCACTGTAATTAGCATCACATAGCATCATTTGTCACAGATACAAGGATAAATAGAATGGTATCTATGTACCTATTAATCAATCAAACTAGGTAGCAAATACCATTGTGGGGAACCTCTTCCCTAGAGTGAATCACAGGACACTCATTTGTGTTGTTAGGAATTAAAACTGCCTCACCAGTATCTAGTCAATGACTTGTAGGCCGAATGTAATATTGTATTTGTGGTTGAACTCTACTAGAATTTAGAGAAAATTTGTTCAAATGTATCAGCCAGTGTTCTTCACTCAGAAGAACATTTTTCTTTGCCTCATGACATCATAATAAACATATCTTTTAATAGGGGTGAAATCACACAAATGACCATCTCCTTCATGACTTGGGCAGAGCTAGTCAATCCCACAGGAATCCCAAAAGGAAGGGACAATACTAACCTCTTGTATACTTGCCTCTTTATTAAGCAGTGTGTTCTCATATGTGTGTAATTGCATCTACAAGGAAACAAATTTAGGGAAGGCCATTAGGACATTGCATTTGTTAAACAATAGTCCTATAAAATCATTCCCTAAGGGAGACTTGTTTCTGAGAAACCTATAACACGCAAATGGTTTTCACTTCACAGAGAACTTTCACATCCAGCCTAACAAGCCCACCACACAGGGCTCATTGCCTTCCTTTCACCACGCAGGAAGCCAGAGTAGACCACTTGTGAGGTCTGCCCATGGTCACACACAGTCTGGGGCAGCGCCAAGCCTGAAAGGTGAGTGTCTGGGTCCAATGCTATGTTCTTCCCTCTGTTCTAGACATCGCATGGTAAGAGCATGCTGTCTTTGCCTTTTTTGGATAAAAATGAAAATCTAGATAGGACGTGAACATAGATGCCACAAGTCCACAACAAAGACTCTTCCTCTTTTAAAAACAGAATTTTAGGGCTGGGGATTTAGCGCAGTGGTTCCACCACCTGCCTTGCAAGTGCAAGGACCCGAGTTCAATCCCCAGTACCAAAAAAATAAAAATAGATAAATAAATAAATAAAAATAAAAACAGAATTTTAAAGAGTTCAAGATTTTTCACAGCAAACTGAATTTTAAAGATATATAAGCTTATTAAGCCAAAAGCAAGTTAACGTGCATTTATAAATAGGATAGAATTGATAAATATGCATAATGCTGAATTGCAAACCTGGAAATGTAATCAACATAATAAAAGGCAGAATTATCATCATAATTCTGTATATTGGATGTCTCTTCACAGGTCTAAAAGTATTTTCAAACAGTCATCCAAGTTTGTGGGGAGTAGGTAGAAATATCATACTCAGGTAATAGATGAGAAAATTGAGTCAAAAAGAGGTTAACCACTTGCTTGATATTGGAAAGCTTTTTGGTGGAGAAGACAGATCTGAATCCATGGCTTCTGGCTCCTTACACTAGTTTATCACAGTGGTAGTTTCCAAACAGCCATTTCTTATGTAGGATTAACTGTAATGTCTAAATTTTAACTGTAATCTGTAATCCATGAATATGCAAAAAATTTTTGTCTCTGCTAGGAAACTTTAAAATTCCACATACACATGAAATTGAAGTATAACATAATTTCAAACATATACAACAAAAATATTAACCAAGTAAATCATTGAGGTGACAGTGAAATGACATAAATTAATAAATTTATTGAATAGTGCCTTCCATTTCCTGATAAGAACATATAACAGATAATGGAAGTATGTACATGTAATACAGACAAAAACATTTTTTTGAAAAGTCTCATTCCTTATGTATAAGGTATCATTCCTTAATTTAATAGGGGCTAGAGATTTCTTTTTTTTAATTTTCAGCATTAAGAAGATACAATTTCATTAACTTTCAAAAAATCAGAAGCTGATAAATTAGAAATTGCTACTATAAGAAAATGATATACAAGTGTAGGCAATGATATACAGAAATCTGAATCCCCACACTCTGCTAGTGGAATGTAAAATTGTGTAGCCACTTTGGAAAATACCCTGGCTGTTCCTCCAAATCACCACATGACCCAGTAATTCCATTCCTAAGTAAATAACAAAGAGAAGTGAAAACATAGCTCCACACACAAACTGATAAACAAATGCTCGAGGCAGCATTATCCACAATAGCCAAAAAATGGAAACAGCTCAAGTGCCATCAATGGAGCAGATAAACAAAACACAGTATACCCATAAACAAAATGGTATATCCATTAACAAAATGCAGTATATCCAAACTTAGTGGTGTTTTATCCAGCAATAAAAGAAACAAAGTACTACCATACCCTATAGGATGGATGAACCTTGAAAAAATTATTCTAAGCAAAAGAAGCTGGTCAAGAAAGACCACATATTGTTTGATTCTATTTATATATGAAATCTCCAGAATAGACATATCTAGAGACTGAAAAAAGATTAGTGGTTGCCTAGAACTGAAGTCACACTGAGAGGGTTCCTTTTAAGATAATGAAAATGTTTTAAGCTTAATTTCCATTGCAGCTACCCAACTCTGAATACACCCTAAGCCACTGATTTGTGTACTTTAAGTAGGTAAATTTCATGACATGTGAATTATGTATCAGTATAGCTGTTACCAAAAAGTGAGAAAGCAAAAGAAACTGCCTTTTATATAACTCAGACATTTGGAGGAGTACAAATTTCAGAATTTATAACCATTGGTTATTGTGTCAATGGGTGATCTACACCTGCACAGAATAAAACTGGCTTGATAGAAAAAAATATTTAACCAGTATTTGGGAAGTGCTTACTTGATGCTCTGTCTCAGTTTCAGATAATTCCTCAATCTTCTTTTCCAGTCCATCTATATCCAAAGCATTCTTTAGATTCTAATACAAAGGAGAATAATATTCTTAGATTTAGCACCAACAATAATAAAACCATCATAATCAAAGTCTGATAGGAAGTGATATAGTATTTTCATCACCAACATTGTAACCATGTAAAACTAAGAAACCAAAGTTTAGATTGTCCAGAAATAACATGCTCCTTTGAATAGGACCATCTTGGAATACTCTCAGTAGTGGCTTCTTATATTTCATTCCCCTACTCCAACCCTTGCTCCATAGTCACGGCTTCAAACTTGTTATGGCCAGTTAGTGGGAGCCCTCCATTCACTTGACTACAAGCATCTTACTCTCCCAACCACTACCTCTTTCCATATTTCTTTCAGCACCAACAAACCTTCAGTCTCCACTGGACCCTGCAATCCCTCCATTCTGCTACCTTTTCTCTTTCTTTGGTACCGGGGATCAAACTCCGGACTTTGTGCTTGCAAGGCAGGCGGTGGAACCACTGAGCTAAATTCCCAGCCCTCTGCTACCTTTTCATTATCCCTCAGCCTTTCCATGAATTCAGTTCCTCTTCACTCGGCTTCCATGGTCAAATGCTAGAATCTCTCCCTTCCACATGCTTTGGTTCCCTTGCCTATCTCTTGTTTCTAGGATTTGTGTAAATTAGCTTGCCGCCCACTCCATGCCAGCAGGTCACATGAAAAATTCATGACTTTTAACGTCAATGTTTACTGGTTATCACATCACATAATCCTGGTATATTTTACACTATCTTTTATCTAAATCAGGGGTTGCCAAACTGTGCCAACCATCCACCCCTAAAGACCAAATCTAGCTGACCACCTGTTTCTATAAATAAAGTTTGGTTTGGTGTTAGATTTCTTGAGACATGGTCTTGCTTTGTAGTCCAGGCTGACCTCAAACTTGGGCTCCTCCTGCCACAGCCTCCAGAATACTGGGCTTACAGGTATACACCATGCCTGATTTATAAACAAAGTTTTATTAGATCTCAGCTGTGTTCATTTGTCTCTATATTGTCTGTGGCAGCTTCCACACTATAAAGGCAAAGGTGAGTTGTGGGCAAAGGCCTTTGGACAGTAAAGCCTAAAAGTATTTACTCTCAGGTCCTTTACAAAAAGTTTTCCAACCTTTAGCCTTTCATCTCTTTCCCTTTCTTCAAAATTACAGTACCTCCAGCATTCTCACTTTCAGACATGATTTTGTTTTGTATTTCCTGCGATACTAGAAACAATGAGAAGACATTTCCCATATTACCTGAATGTATAATAAACATCTTAGGCTATGTTATAAAGCATTCCCTGATCTCACACCTCTGTTCACCTCCACTGTTACTGCTTCAAACCAAGGCCCCATTAACCTAGGACTGGAGTGTTTCAGAAGCCTCCTAATTGGTCTTGCTGGGTTTTCCTTGCCTCTCTACAGGCTGCTGTAAAGCAAGCAGCCAAAGTTATCTTCTTAAAGCAGAAATACTTCGACTATATTATTCTTCCGCTCATAACTCTCCAAGGGCTCTGTCTCAGTGTAAGGGAAGGAAAAGAAAGAAGGAAAAAGAGTCCAAGTCCTCAGAATGCCTCCATAAGAAGACCCTGCGTGGTCTGCCTCCTTGCAGCTCCCAGATCACACCTCTTGCTACTCATTCACTCTGTTCCACACATGCTGCCTTACTGCCTCTTAAAACTGACAGGCAGGCTGCAGCCTCGGGACTTGGAGCTTGCTGTTTCCTCTACCTGCAATGTTCTGTCAACAGATAAATAAACCTCCTTTCCAGTTTCGGGTCAGAAGACTAACTTCACAGCACTGCTTTTCTTAACCACACTGGTTTAATTGTACTTCTCTCCCTCCAGTCTGCTTGCTCCTTTCCTCCATAGCACTAATTTCTATCTAATATGCAAGCCCCTCATTGGGCCATTTTGCTTAAGTTCATACACTCAGCACTTAAGATGGTGTCACACATAGGAGTCTCCCAGTAAATATGTGGTGGGTGGGTGGGTGGATGGATGGATGGGTGGGAATCTCTACCCAAACCACTGTGCTGTTATTCTTCACACTGCCTTACATTTCTACCTCCTAAAGGAATCTCAGTTGGGAGGGATATTTATATGGATTTTCTAACATAAACCAGTAATTGCAATGTTACTTCCTGATGAAGAGGTTTAAATATTCCATCTCAATTCTGAACTGATTTGGTACCATTCTTCAATGCTTGTCACTCATTTAAATACAAGAAGAAATTATCTTACACGAGGAGCTGAAATGTAAAGCACTAATTTCACAAACACCTGGCCTCACAGCTGTAACATGTCTGAATGTAATATAAGCTCTCTTTACAACCTTTAATTACTCCTTTTCAACCCCTTATGAATTTTTAAAATATGTACATGGCTCATATTTTGAGTCTCCAGACTACTCAGTACAGCTTAATAAATATGTTTGATAGTCTTATATAAAGCCAAATTTTAAACACTTCATGCAGTACTTGATATTCACAAGCTATCTATAGGGAATTTTCCCTCTAAAATAGTAATGTAGTAGTAGTTTTACTATCGGCTCTTCCAATGCTTAAATTCTCTTGCTTAAAATATACTTTGCAAAGATTACAGATTGGAGAGATTACACTAACATTTCCTAACATACATAAGGTACATTACAAGCAGCTTAACAGAAATTATCTTGTTTTCCAAAACAACTATATTGGAATATGTATTGCTAGCCCTGAAAAGACAAATGGATTTTCCAAGATCATGCTTTCAATAAACTTAAGATCTGGATCTGGACAAAGCATCTTGCCATCCCATTCAATGGAGTAATGGTGGGAAATTATTAGGTAAGGCCCGTCCTTTCCTTCTTGATATGTATATTTTTAGGCAGATTCATTTCATGTTAAATCTAAATTTCTTAAATGTTATTTTTTTCTCTGGATAACTGCAGGAGTAATAAGGTACCTCTGTCCAGAGAGAACACCCTATCAGCCCTTCCTCACTTGTACTTCAACAAATCAATTTGCTGTTAGGCCCAGAGCAGCCTGGATTTGCATTTAAGTCACGGTCTCAACCCATGACTGTGTGATTCCTATGTTTAATGATATGCCAGTGTTTAACGATACTGACATACCTCTTCCTGTAGGATCCGAATCTTAAGAATCAGAGCCCGGTTTTCTGTCTCCTGAAAATAAATAAAAATATTTAAGAATTTCATGAACATTGCATACATATACCTTCAAAGCTATTGACATTCCTTCCCTTTTACCAACTTTTTTATTTGTTTTGAGACAGCCTCCCGAGTGCTGGGAATATAGGCAGGTACCACTATGCCTGCCCTTTACCAACTTTAAATATAATATTCACATGTCGCAGTTGAGCCTAGTATGAAAATATTCTCAACATGAGGCTGAGCTTTGGCTTGCTGTTTCTTGGGAGAACTACGAGAAAAGTCAGTCTCCTCTCTGACTCACTGGAATGTTAGGAGAGGGGAAAAATGCCAGGCATGGTGGTGCATGCCTATAATCCCAGGATTTGGGAGGCTGAGGCAGGAGGATCGCTGAAAGTTCAAGGCCTGCTTGAGCTACATAGTGAGCTCAAGGCCTGGCTGAAGTACATAACAAGACTCTGTCTAAAATACCAAAAAAGGGGAGGCAGGGCACTACCCAGCTTCTTTCCTTGATTTTTTTTTTTTTTTTGTCCCGAGGATCAAACTCGGGACCTTGCACTTCCTTCTTAATTACTATCTATGTATGAGAAGTAGCTGCAAACTCAACTAGTTAAACTGCACCGTGAAACCACAAAGAGTTCTAGCTTTCTACTTCAAAGTGTGGGTAGTCCCAGACTCAGTGTTACCACACACGAACATTAAAAACTAGTTTTTAATTCACATCCTTGAATCAGGAAAAAAAATACTCCAGGATAGGATATTTGCCAAAATGTTACCCGGAAATCTTGTGGATAGGTTAAGGTAAGAATTTTTGTGTGGTTTTATTTTTTCCTTTGTTGATATATGTATTTCTTTAGTTTACAGAATAAACAGATATCACCTTTATGATATAAAAATGAAAGGGATAATGTCTCAGGCTAAGATTTCATTGATACAAAAATAAAGGCACACATGTGGACACATACACCATGGACTTAGAATCAGCAGACCTGTGTTAAATTTTTGCACTACCTTTTATTAGGTAATTGACTTCGCCCAATCAAAAAAACTCTCTAGACTTTATCATTCTAGTAAAATTTTTTAATATGAAGATGTAGCCACTTCTGTTTCTTTCTCATAGAATATCTATGATTAACAATGAAGTAAAAATTAAAAGTTCTTTTGAAATTATAAAACACTATAAAATGCAAAAGATCCATATTGCATATCTAGAATAATACACTTCTGTCAATAGCAGTTAACATTATTGACCCCAAAGAGGAAAGACAATGACAACTGGATGCTTTACATGTGTCAAGCTTATTTTCCCCTCCCAGCTCTAGGGTAGGTTGTACTGTCCTGCCCACTTAATCTAGGGCAGTGGTCTCCAACCTTTTTTGGCACTGGGGACTGATTTTGTGGAAGACAATTTTTGCACAGACAGGGTAGGGGTGTGTTAGGATGATTCAAGCACATTTCATTTATTATGCACTTTATTTCACTTATTAGATTGTGCACTTTATTTCTATGAGTATTACATTATATTCTCATAATATGAATCTAGTTCCCTCAATGTGCAGTTCATGGTAGGGTTCGTGCTCCTATGAGAATTAATACCAAAGCTGAGAAAGTGTAGCTCGGGCAGTGATGCCAGGGATGGTGGGGAGTGGCTCTAGGTGCAGATGAAGCTTCGCTCACTGGCTGGCCTTCTGCTTTGGGGGAAGGGGACCCCAATCTAGGGGACACTGAAGCTTAGAGTGGCCCTGTAGCTTGTCTAAAGGTACACAGCCTTTGGTGCCAGGGCTGGAACTTTCTACATAGTGCATCTGTGTAGGAGCCGCTCAGGGCTGCTACATTGAGTGTTCCCTGTAATGCGCTCAGAGTCTTCCACAGGCACAAAGGATCTGATGCCCAATGAGTCAGGTCCTGCCATGCTACTCTTAAGGCAAGAGCCAAGCTAAATGAAGCCGTGCTTGTTCTGGGAGGTCACAAGGTCACAAGGGGCTGACGTTGGCCTGGAAACCAAGATTCCCAGCGACTTACAGTCAGACTCTAAAAGCAGCTTTTCAACGAACGCCTAAAAACAAGCAAGTCTGAATGACATTCAGTGGCACCTCATCATGATTAACAATGCTAAAATACTACATAAATTTAGCAAGATTTTTAGGAATTATTTCTAACGTTCACATTTTCCAAAAAATTATCACACTTCTCTGGCATTTGGGTTAAAGCTTAGTATAAATAACTTGTTGCTCTGAAATTAAAGGGCTGTGCCTTTTCAGCATAAAAAAGGATTTATGAAGCTTTATAGTAACCTGTAAGTACTAAAAAAAACTGGTGAAAGTTTGACAGAATTTGGTTTTATTTCAAGTAGTTTTTAGTATCAGATAGTTATGAACTCACCTACCAACTTCAGGAAACACTGCAGAGATTTTCTACGTGTTTATAAAACATTATGAACATGACCGAGATAAGGTAAAAAATTTTAATCCGAATGAAAAGAAAAACAATTTTCAAAATCTTACTTGTCTGTACTTTTCAAAAGTGTTATCAGTTCTTATCGTCTTCTGATTTTGGGCCCAAACAAGCCCTCTTTGAGTTTCAGTATGGAAACTGTATGCCCATTTCAGATACTTAGTAACTTACCAATTGTTTGTTCTGAGCTTCAGTCATGCTCTTCTCCTTTTCTAAAACACTCAGAGTAATTTTCAGTTCCTCCAGTTCTTCTTTTAATAAGTTTCCTCTCATAACAGTTTGGCGGACACTGTAGGGGTGGGGGATGACAATGCGCAAAACCTCAAATGTAACCGTCAAAGACACCAAGGAAGCAAAAGACTATTTTTGGACTTAAATTGAAAACCACTGAAGGCTTAATCCAGCTAACCACAATGATGAACACTATTCCCCTGATCTTTCACTCCTTAGAAAAGGAAGGAATTTGGAAGGAGTTTAGTGAGGAGGAGAATAGAGGTAAAACAAATATATTCTCAAAGCTAAAGATTTGGAGAATCCCCTTGAAATCCAACATTGGCTAAATGACGTGACTAAATGGGTATAGTATTAGTTAGTGCAATTTTATGAATATTTATTAACTAATGCTACATTCCAGGCTCTGTAACCTTATATGGAGCCCACAATGGAAGACAAGAAAGACAAGATCTTTTATATACTGGTGGTGGCAACAACTAATTAAATAATTACCAATAAAAACTTGCTAAAGAAATAATTATCAATAGTCTCTATATGGTACAGTCCATAAAGAAATCTATTATGGCATTGTTTATAATAGTAATGAATTAGGAACAACCTGAGTGCCTACCAACTGGAAACTGGTTAAATGAGTTTTGATGGGGGCTGGGGATTTAGCTCAGTGGTTCCACTGCCTGCCTCGCAAGCATAAGGACCTGAGTTCGATCCCTGGTACCTACCAAAAAAAAAAAAAAAGAGTTTTGATGATCCAGGTCATGGAATAAATGATTTGTATCTCACTAGATTATAAACTGATATCTGCAGGTCTCAAGAAAGGTATACTTTTTTTCTTACCGAGGAATTACCTTGATCATGCCACAAAATTATTCACCTCTAACTAAAACTTGGAAACAGCCCAATCTTCCATCAGCTGGTAACTGGATAAAGAAGTGGTTTTTTAAAAAATGGAGTACTACTCAGCCATAAAGAATAAGAAACTAGAGACATTTACAGATAAATGGATGCACATTGAGGCCATATTCTTAAGTGAAATAACTAGGACACACATGTGTAAATACCAAATAGTTCCTCTGGTGTGTGAAATGTGAAATAGGAAGAAAAGGTCCAAAGGGGAAGGAGAAAGGGAAGTGGGAGGGGTAGGGGAAATGAAATAAGGGAAAGGAATAAATATAAGAAAAGGCAAAAACAGAAACAAGTCTTTGTAAATAGGGAGGGATGGAGGAGTAGAAGGGAAGGCAGGGGTATGGGGGGAAAAAAAGAACCAACATATATCATGGAAAGGTACAAATTCCCAATGATGAATGTCATCATATTGTATACCTAAAATGTACCAATAAAGTTAATGAATTTAAAAGAATTACTGACCTCTAAATCTGTGCCAGGCATTGGGTTAGGGACTGAAGGCAAACATGCACTCAATCAAATGAATGTTCCCTTCCCAGAGTCTGTAGTTCAATAGGGTAAACAGATAATTCTAACTACAATACAGTGTGATAGGAACCAAGGTTGGAGTAGATCTAAGTTCTCTGGACACTGCATAAAAAGCAGGTAACTCCTGCAATAAGGGAGTGTGTGCATCCGAGCAGATGCCCAGCAAGGGTCTAGGCAGCTATGCTGCAGTCTCCAGTAGAGAATGGGAAGCAGATATAAAGCAGCAGAGCCCCATCATGAAAGATTTCCTATACCATAAACCCTAGGAAGAAATTTAGCGTTTAGGCCAGGGATGTAGCTCAGTGGCACTGCACCTGCCTTGCCAGTGCAAGGTCCTGAGTTCAGTCTGTGGTACGAGAAAAAAAAAAATTACAGTTTATCCTGAATGCAAGAGAGCTCCATCCCAATGTTTAAAGCAGAGGCAGGATGTGGTCAGACTGGCATCTGCCGAGAATATTCCTGCCAGCACAGCACATGTCCGGAAGACTAATCACGAGGGTTCTGCAGCAATCTAGGTGAAAGGTGACGCTGATGTGAATTAAGTAGAAGATATAGGAGTGGGAGGGAGGGAATCAATATATGGGAGAGATATACAGGAGCTAATTCAATATGACTTGTTATTTGATAAAAGGGAAGGTTAAGGGAGCTAAAAAGAGCTAAGGAGAAAAGAGATGACAGCTTAAGGATGTAGACAATGACAAACAAGCTGCTCACCAGATTCCTGGATTCCTGACCATTCTGTGAGTTACTCAACTCCTTTCCAATGCATTTTTCTTTTTTGTTTTTTCCCCCCGATACCAGGGTTCAAACTCATGACCTTGCAGTTGTGAGGCATCCGCGGTGCCACTGAGCTATATCCCCATCCCTCCAATGCATTTCTTGGCTGCTTATGTTAAAGATCAACTAAAACACAGAGTGTTTCTAGTGCTTGCAACCAACTCTTGACACATTCATTTGAGGCATTTTTTAAAGAAACTTTGAATCAATAAATAATGAGCCAATTGAGGAAAGAAGAGAACTGAAGCTAAGTATTTTTTGTATATTATACATGAGATTGGTTTGGAGGCTAGCCTGGACCATGTCAAAAATCAAGGTGAGAATCTACAGCTCCAATGATTTATTGTCATTCCTTGTATAACCCTGAACCCTGCTATTCAGAACTTTAAAATACCTATACCTATAAATGCAGACTTTATAAGAAACTTGGGTTTTTTTCCCCTGATAATGAAGCATTTCCCCCTAACCTATGTTATCAGAGTTGAACACTATCTGGTATGTCTTTTACATTCTCTACTCTCTTTTTATCTTAAGCTAAGGTCACAAATTTACATTTTTTATCCTTCTAGGTTATAGGTACCTGGAGAGCACATTTAAAACTTGACCCACCCATGAATCCCTCTCGGTATTTATTATGGCACCTTTCAGAGAGTAAGATTTCAACTGACCCATGGAACACTTTGGACAGACCCACACTTAGTCCATAGTGGTGTTAGGTTTAGAACTAGCCTGGATGACACAGATCATAGAACATCATTGCTAGAAAAGAACTGACAAATATTCCTCATGAGAATGTAAGATGGTAAATTTCCTATGCAACACAGTTTGGTAGTTCCTCAAAATGCCAAGTATAAATTACAATATGACCCAGTGATTAGATAATTAAAAACACAAGTACATAGAAAATTTGTACATAAATGCTCACAGAAGCATTATTCATTATAATAGAAACATGTAAATAACCTAAATGTCTGCCATCTGAAGAGTTGATTTTAAAATGTGGGATAGTATTAGCCATAAAAGGGAAAGATGTAGTGGTACCGAACGAACCTTGTAAACACTGTGCTAAAGAAAGGCAGCCAGACACAACAGGCCACATATTAGGAGACTCTGTATGAAATGTCCAGAAAAAGTATGAGACAGAGAGACCAGTAGTTGCCAGGGGCCAAGGGAAGCGAAGAAGAAAGAAGCAACTGGAAATGGTGCAGGGTTTGTTCTTAGAATGATGAAAATGTTCTGGAATTAGATAATGGTGATGATTGCACAACCCTGTGAATAAATTTTATGATATGCAAATAATATATTAATAAAAGATGAAAAAAGAAAACAGTAGCTCACCTTTTTACTTGAAGACGTAATTCAGCGCAGTCCTCTGTTAACTGGATATTAGCTTCTTCTGAGGTTTCCAATGCCAATTTAAACTTACAATTTTCCTCTTCCAGTTTCTGTTTGTGGAAATGTAGGTCTGCTATGTAGGTAATTAAGTCAGACACATCTCTAGGGGTGGAAGAATACATGAGGATAATCTTCAGTATCTCTAGTCCCTTCTAATCAAAATAAAGGATATGGTTAAGTTCAAGAAGGATTAAATGTTCTGATGAAGTTTTCTACTCTACCCTCATCCTCATCATAAATGCAGCACCTGTATACAATATTTATTTAAACTTTTATTATACAGTAATAACAAAGAGTTTTCCAACACTGCCAGTCAGTCAGCATTTGCCACTTGTGAAATCAATTTTCACAGTTTTTTAATTCATTCCCACTTCCCTCCCCACATTTGCTTCCTTCTATACTGAAGCATTCCTATTTCTGCCTGGGTGATAGAAGGTCCCAAAATAAGTATATATGATATTCATTGAGGCAAGGGATGGCAGCTGGCTTTGCTACAACATCAACCAGGACACAACTCCTAGAGCTTTGTAGGTGGAGCCTGTGGTTCACAACTTAGTATTCATCTTCCTCACCCCCAACACTGGCTCCAAAACTCTTAGAAAGTCTGGACTGAGTGTTTCATGGCATGCCAGACCTCTTCCTCTTTCCTATCTTTTCTCAGTTTTCAGTACAGGCTCAGTACATGGCTCCTTCTCCACATTTTTGCTGGATAAAATAAGAAGGAAAAAGAATTGCCTCTCTGTAATATACAAAGCTCACACGCTTAGCGGAAAATAGAATTTCCCATTCATGTTTAAAATATTCCAATAAAGAAGAACCTTAAAACTAATTCCCCAGATCCTAACCTACTTCAAAAGGAACTTATTTTTTTATAGAAAACACATGAAATCAGGGCCGGGGATTTAGCTCAGTGGTGCTGCCACCTGCCTCACAGGCACGAGGTCCCGAGTTCAATTCATAGTACAAAAAAAAAAAAAAAAAAAGAACACACATGAAATCAATGAAGGAGAAGGGTTTCATGAGTGAACAAGTGGTAATTTTTGGATTGCTAGTTTTATAAGAATTCATACTCCTAATGAAACTGGTTTCAATGTAGATGGCATAAAATAGTTAAAATTTTAAAGTCAATTGTGTTAGCTTCCCCCCTCAAAAAAAGTTAAATGACTGTAAGCAAAAAGTGAATCTACTCAAGTATAGTTTTGCAAACCTGCAATCCTACCACTCTGGGAGGTTGAGGCAGGAGGATCAGGAGTTCAAGCCCAGCCTGGGCAACTTAATGACTGAGCACGACCCTATCTCAGAACAAAAAATAAACAGCGGGCTGGGGATATACCTCAGCCCTTCATTGCCAGTATTATTTTAAAAATGTGAATCTATGAAAGAAAGAAAATAAGTAAGGAAACCGGAAGCACTTAAAAATGCTTTACCAGGCCCGGGGATTTAGCTCAGTGACACCATACCGGCCTCACAAGCTCAAGGTCCTGAGTTGGATCTTTGGTACCGTTAAAAAAAATTTAAAAAAGCTTTACCAGCAAGAATACTTACAGAACTCCCTGAGACATCTCTCCACCCAAAGCCTCCAAACTCCCTGTTGCAGAATCTGTTATGTCTGTAGTCATCTCAACTGAAACACACACAAGAGAGCTTCATGAAAAATTCTCAAAACCACAAGAAAGTGGCACAACAATCCCAAAGAAGTGCACACATACTGGCCCCACCTGAGTTTATGCTGTCCTGCTTTTCAAAAACAGAATCTTCAGTGGTCCTACTGAACCTGCTCTTCACGCCTTCCCTGTAGCCAAAAACAAAACCAGTGAGCTTGTTTGCCACACTGAGGTTTAGTTCACTGGTTAAAGATGTGCTGTACACTCTCTTATTCAGCGACAGTATTTTTCTGAATTCTAAAACCATCTTTTCATTCAAGAACTCCTTAGACCCCCATGCTACACTTAGGTTGACAGAAAGAAACAGAGGCATTACCTCCACTAGCCATCAACTTTTAATCAAATACAAAAAACACCCACGCAGACAGTCAGGGGGCGACACACAGCAGCATGTGGTTAGGCAATGAGGGTCTCAGTGGATTAGGACATCAAGACAGCTTGGAGTAACAGTGGGGACTCTGCAGGTAGCAAGACAGTGGACCTTTAAAGGTTGGAAAAGGAAAGTCCTGATCAAGGAGGACTTCAGGATACATTGATGGGGCTCTCCCTGTCTCTATCACAGATAAAGTGGAACCCAGACTAAGTATACTGTGAACATTTCACTCTAAACTTTCTACCCAATCCTCTGTCCAGTGCACAAATTCCAGCTCTGCCCCCAAAATAGACTTTCAACCTTTTCACTTCAAAGAATCCTTATAGTATAATTTAAGTTTTGTCACCAAATCTGTTTTTAAGTTTGATTTTTATGAATATGTTACCAGTATGTAACGATTACATTTACCGTGGGGAGCTGGTATGTGTACATAACACATCTCTATTCTTTTTATGTCCCCCCTTCCTTCTTTTTCCTCCCCATTCCTTCCGTCCTTCTCTCGGATCCCTTCCCATCTGCGAAAGATCTTTTCTTACTAAATCTTAAGCACCAAACCCTTAGCCACTGTCTGTCTCCCCCTCTCTCCCCCCTCTCCTCTCTTCCTCACCCCCTTCTCTGGAGCAGCCACAAAATTGTTTAAATTTATACTTAAATCTCACTGCTTTTCAGACCTCATGTGAGATCTCCAATAGAAGCTTGAGTAGAAACATCATATTCTAGTCCCCTGCACACACTCAGCACTATTTGAGTTTCTGCTTTCTGCTCTTGTATTCTGTATTGAGACCTCCCATGCCTTTGCCTTTCCTCAAAATTTGTTATAAAAAATAAGTTTTCTTTTGTCATCACTGTTTCTAAATTATTCATTTTTAGTACAGGATTATATATGATCAAATTTAGAGATATTATATAATCAAATTTTAGAAATATTACAAAATTCATGAGTGGACACAAAAATTAAAACCACCATGCAGAGATAATTATTATGGATTGCATTCTCCCAAATTTTTCCTAGGTATATTTCTGTTTCCTGACAAAAATGGGATTATACAATATAGAGAGATAGTCAGTTATTTACAATAAATACATATCACTGTTTCTATTGTCATACATTAATCCAATAATAATTTTGAATGATAATTTAGGATTCCAGTATATGGAAGTATATACCATAATTTATTTGTCCACTACTCTATTTTTAAATATTTAGGTTGCTTCTATTTATCACTATCATAAACAACGTCTTAGTATACAGTATTAGAGCATATGATGATTTTCCTTCAAGTTACATTACTAGCTCAGAGAGACTACATATTTTTAAGGGTCTTATATTCTTAAATTGGTCTTTTTCTTTTTTTGAAAGTATGCTTCCCATATATTAAAATTAAATGTATAAGCTTGTACAGCAATGAACATGATACAACAAACCAGTGGAATTTTACCAAAAAGCAGTACAAGACAATTGAGCGTGAAAGCAAGTAGATATAATTTTTTAAAAAGTCTTTCTGTTGGTACTACAAGTTATCAGGGGAGAGCACGCACACAGTCCCCCACCACTTTGGGTTTTTTTGGTACCAGGGATCGAACTCAGGTCCTTGCGCTTGCACAGTAGGCAGCGAAACCACTGAGCTAAATCCCCAGCCCCCACACCACCTTTGTTTTTTGAGACAATCTCACTGTGTAGTTCAGCCTGGCCTCAAACCCACAGTGATGCCCCTGCTTCAGCCTCTCCAATTCTGGGATTAAAGGCATATGCCACCAACTGGACTTTAAAAAACTTGCACTTCTACCAAAAATGTCTAAGAGGTTAAATACCGCCCCCTATACCCCATGAAGTGGGATAAAATCATTCTTTGTTAATCTTTGTTAAACTATCAAAACAGGTATATCCTCTTTATTTACATTTCTTTACTTGTAAGATTCCATATTTTTGAATATTTACTTTGCCTTCATTATTAACCTACATATGGCCGACAGTATTTTAGTCATATTTTCTTAAGTCATCTAGAAACCCTTAATCCCAATAAAAGCCTAGTAACTATTGTTACTCTTAGGGGTTGAAGTTTTAAGCAAATCCCTTGTATGAGTTGGCTGATGGCTGTAGGTTGATGTCTAAGAAGCACATCAACCTGGCTGACCTGGAAAACAAAGGCACTTCTGCAGTATCTCCCGGGGCATCTAAAATCATGAAATGCCAATCTTTCTTCCGGTTTTCTTCCTCTCCCACTGGCTTTTCCTTTTCCCTTTAGCCTTCCTATGTTTTATTTTGTTGTTATTGTTGCTTTGGTACTGGGGATCGAACTCAGGACCTTGCACCTGCAAGGCAGGCGGCTGCACCATTGAGCTAAATCCCCGACCCAGCCTTCCTATGTATTATGGTTTAGATAGAGAATGTCACTCCAAAGCTTCATGTGCTTAGAGGGGGGGCTTTGGAAGGTGATCATGGATTCATCCACTTCTACATTGGTAGAAGTCAAATTGACATATTTTTTTCAGAAATAATACCCTATGATCCCAAGCACTTTCCAAAACCCCTTGGGCAGCTGTGTGTGCTGTTGGGGTGGGGGGTAAAGATGGGTCACTGGGGGGTGATCTGCAAGTGTATTATCTCCCTCCCCAGCTCCTCCTTTCTCTCTCAGCTTCCTGGCCACCATGATGTGAGCAGCTTTCCTCCACTATCCCCTGTGCCAGGCTGTTTCTCCTTTAATTGGTGGGTGGCAGGCATTAGGTCCCAGTGAAGAGTACATACGAAATGTTCAAATTATACTCACTGCCTACACCACTGTTCTTAAAAGGAACCTTACTCCAGGAGTGGTGACACCTGCCTATAGTCTCAGAACTCTGTGAGGCTAAAGCAGGAGCATTGCAAGTTCAAGCCCAACCTGGGCAATCTAGTAACTTAGCAAAGACTGTCGTAAAATTAAAAAATAACAAGGGCTGGAGATGTATGTCAGTGCAAAGGCCCTGGGTTCAGGCCCCAGTAACACCAAAAAAGGGGAAAGGGAGTTCACCCTTGAGTTTACATGCATTGGAGATTTAATAATATCAATAAATCACTTGGCTCTCGTACCAACTCAATTCTTTGTGAGAATAACATGTGCTACCCCCGGTCACAATAAATGAACATTATCTAAACTAATGCACAGGGCTGTGGTCCTCAAAGGGTGCCCACCTCATGTGCAGCAGCAACAATATCACCTAGCAACTTGCTAGAATGTAAATTATTGGCCTTATCCCAGACTATTAAATCCTAGGGAGGGCGGACAATAAGCTTTGCATCTTTCAGGAGACTGAAAGGCTGCCAAAGTGCAAGATGTACCAGGTTTTAGTAGTTCCATCCACACAAATGAGCAGTGATTAGCACCAACTCGAATGAATTATTAAAACAGAAGCTTAAAAGACATTCTGCCAAGACCTGGTTACCATTTGGGTCTACAGTAAGCCATCCACTCCTTCACAGCGGCATGGAAAGTGTCCAGATCCACTTGTGGGTCTGTCTTTTCAGGGTCAAGCATGGTCCACAGCTCCTCAAGGCCACTGTCTTCCAAATCTTGGCTACTTGTCTGTCTTAGGTAATCTATTACTTTGCCCACTTCTATTGAGCCTTAGGAAGAAGAAAGACAGATTAGTTTTGAAAGGTGGAAAAAGATGGTATTTTTAATGCATGAAGTCCTGAACTCTTTCAGGTCCCTTGGATCCTACAAATATGCCATATAATCCTTGCACCCTGCTGAGCTGTCAGAGAAGTGGAAAGACCACTCGCCTTAGGTTGCAGTCTAATCAGCCTTGTGTCAAATCTTGACACCAGCTTGTCAGCTGTGTGACTCTGGGAAAACTCCTTCATCTCTTATTTAAGGAACTCAGTTTCCTTATCTGTGAACTCTGGAGGATGATACTTACCATAGAGAGTTATTGTGAGGTTTAAATAATGATGATATATGTAATCAATAATCAGTTATGGGAAGGGAGAGAAATGCCCCTATTTTTTACCTCTCATTCTTTTCTTTAAAAGTATTCAGTGAAAAAAAAAAGTATTCAGTGATTTAAATTTTTCTTCTCCACCTTAGATGAAATTTCAGTCTCAAGTGAAAATTAACTTTTGGTGGGGGAGGGGGGTAATTCTTAAATACAGTTAGTCCTATTACTTTCAGAAATTGAAATAATTCAGATTACTTTAGCAATGGACACACCAATCTTCTTTAAGCAAAAGTCTTCATTTTTCCCCTAAGGAACGAAAGGGCTGGCTGCTGGCAAGACAGGGAAAAATAAGCAGATTGACAAGCTAGATGCAAGATTGAAGATTCTTCAATAATCTAAGAAAATAACCAAGTCTTATAATTACAAGAAGATACTATAAAGAAAACTGAATAAATTTAATCAGACCATTAATATAAAATAATGTATTATCTAGATGTAATATGAAATATTAGAAAGGGAAATATAAACCATAATATAATTAGAGATGATTTATTCCTTATTTGTAGTAGAATGGGAAAAAAAATCTCCTGGAAAGCCACCAAGAATACCTTTATGTCCTTTTCCTCCACTAAAGCTCTAAATTCTCTATCATATACCTCAAAACTGGAAAAATCTCCTATAAGGGTTAATTTTGTATAACTACTTCCTTTACAAGCCTTGCCTGCATCAGCAACATATCCATAGCAACTCCACATAGTCCCTCCATGTAGCCCCTTTACCTCAATCTAATGATGATGTCACCAATAAATATCGACAGCTCTGGGTGTTCAGGGCCTTCCCTTGCTCAGCCTTGCTTGCACAAGCATTGGTCATCTTGGCTCCCCATTTCTCTGTTGCTTTAATTCTTTGAGGTTTTTGAGGTTTTTTTGGTACCGGGGATCAAACTCGGGTCCTTGCACTTGTGAGGCAGGCGGCGGAACCACTGAGCTAAATTCCCAGCCCTTGAGTTTTTCTTTTAACCTTGCATTGTAGCACTGAGCTGATCAGAACCAACTGCAGGGATCTCTAATAATTACTGGTGTTTGAATGAGGGTGTTTTTGGACAACATTAATATTCCATTCTGTACACCGAGGAAAACAGTCCTTAATGTGGGTGAGCTTCTTCCAGTTAGTGAAAGGCCTTCATAGCACAGAACAGCTGACTCTCACCAGAGGAAGAGAGAATGGATCTTCCCTGGCTACCTTTAAACTAGAAATGGACTTTTTCTCTGCCTTTGTACTCAAACTAAAATGTTGGATCTCCCACACACTCAAGCCTGCCAGCTTTGGCTCACTTGATCTTGGGCCTCCAAACTTGGACTTGAACTAAGTCCCCCATCTCTCAAGTATCTAACCCATGGGCTCACCCTGCAGATCTTGGGTCTCACCACTCTTCATAATTGCATGACCCAGTCCCCAACAATAAATCATATGTGCATACAACTCACTATTTTCTTCAGTGAAATAATTCCTTAAGTTCTGACAAAGCACAAAGGCTTTCTGGGAATAAACAAGCTCCATTCACCCTAAAAATATAATTTAGAGGGCCGGGGATTTAGCTCAGTGGTTTCGCTGCCTGCTGTGCAAGCACAAAGACCCAAGTTCAATCCCTGGTACCAAAAAATAAATAAATTTAATTATATATATATATACACACATATATATATATGTGTGTATATATATATAATTAAGAGTGCATGCAAATATTTGCTTCAATAATGTTCATGTGGCATTATTCATAACAGAGAAAAGATAATATCCAATAGAGATGGATTAAATATGTTACATCCAAAAAAAAAAGTGTACTACAGGAAAATTTGTTCAGTAGTTTGGAGGACAAGATGGCTGAATGGAAGCACCCAGAACTCACCTGATCCTTCTCCATGAAGAACCAAAGCAACAAGGGTATAGCTTCATGCTAAGGGTGAATGATGATGGGAAAACAGTAAGAAAGGGACTAGAACCTTATGAGTCAGAGACCTGGGACAACAGCATAGAAAGAAAAACAAAGCATGACAGTATCTGCCACCCTGGCTCCACAACCAGCAGAAGGGGAGTCTGTACTGTGCAGGGTAAGAGTGAAAGAGAGCCCCAGCAAGCTCTATCTATTCTAATACTGGAAAGTTTCACATTCCTCACAAGCTTGGAGCCCACTCAGATAAATAACTGAAATCCATGTAGTATCCTGGAAATGGAAAAGGATCTCACATCATCTCCCAGTAAACCTCCAGGATACGGCAGCCAGGAGCCATTTTAAGAAGGGGCCTACTATCTGGATTTAGACTGCCCTAGGTCAGAAACTCCTGCATATTCTTATCTCTGGGACCCTACAGACACACTACTGCACTGCCTCAGCAGGTAGCTGCCTTGTGAATCCAACTTGGCCAAGAAAAGTGACTCTAACTCTAGTCCACTATGTGTCCCAAACTGTAGGGGGTAGGTATTGAGACATGAAGGAGAAGGGACATTGCTGATCTCAAGAACCAGGAGATTAGGGAGTTTGCACTCTAGGACCAAGGGCATGGCCAACCCTGTGTCAACTCAGGTCAACGCCAAGACTGAAGTCAGGCACCCATATCATTCCTGCCTCTTCTCCCCTCTTGTCCCAGGATCAGCTGCCTGCTACTAACAGGATAAGGAAGAAACACTGTGGTTTCTACTGCTGTCCTGCCCACAGGGGTGTGTTGAGGGTGACTTCAGCAACTCCATGGCGACAACTGTTCCACCACCCCAGGTATGCAAGGACAGAGGAAGCTCAGAGAGGAACTAAGCTCTGCTCCAGCTGAGGTCCAACTTTCTTCTAGGCACTGCCACCAAAGCCACAGAGAAGAACACCCACAGTTCCTGCTGCACCCCACCTGGATGGCTCCTGCGGCTGCACCCTGCTCTTTTTCTGACCACACACTGCCATCAGGACTGAGTGTGAGCATCACAGAGGGGATGCTGAGTTAGAACCACCAACCCTTCCCAGGCATCACCTGGCCCCACACCACTGCCTGGCTGGAGGACAAGTGCTTCAGGCCCCTCACCACTGCTGGTACAGCCAGGGCCAGAGACCTTATAGGTGACAGTGCCAACACCAACAGTGCCTGAGGAAACCTTTGTCACCAGTTAGGGGCCACCATTCCCAGTATAGGAGTAGCTACACAGAGTGTACTTCACACACTCTGCTTGTCTAGACCACACCTACCTGAACTCCTAAAGTGTCCCAAGTCTTGTATGACCCTGGAGATAGGTGTCTCCAACTCTTCCAGAGCACATACCATGCCTGAAGTCATTAATCATGGCCAAAAAAGTGATAGCAAAACACATTACAGTATCCAACTGCAATGAAGGCCAACAATAAGTAACAAATCAATACACCGAGATATGTTTTGAGGAAAAAGCTCCTCATTAAGAATCCCATCATATGAATAACTCTCTAACAAAAGATTTCAAAAAAATAAAGAGATAAAATGTGCTAAAGAATGTTAAAGAATGATTATAAAAAAGGACAATGAAACCTAAGAGAATAAAGATAAACAGATGAAATTGGGAAAACAATGAGAGACATAAATGAAAAATACAAAGAAATAAGACATTTTGGGGAAAAAACAAACAGAAACCTTGAAAATTAAAATCTCAAAATGTCAATAAAAATATAGTTAAAAGCCTCAGTAGCAAACTAGAACAAGCAGAAGAAAGAATATCTGACCCTGAAGACAGGACTTTAGAGATACATTTGTGAAATAGAGAAGAAAAAAGGTAAAACTAAAAGTAAAACAAGCATTCAAGACTTTGGGATGCCATTAAACGAACAAACATCAACATTTTCAGAATACCTTAAGGCAAGGAGAAAAAGTTAAGGGCATAGAAAATCTGTTCAATGAAATAATAGCAGAAAATTTCCCTAATTTTGTGGAAGACATGGACATTCATGTACAGGAGGCTTATAAGACCCCTAATAGACATGACCAGAGAAGATCTTCCTCACAGAATATTACATTCAAATTGTCAAAAGTATAATAACAAGAAAGAACTTTTAAATCTTGAAAAGAAAAGCACCAAGTCGCATTGAGCGACAGTTGCATTAAACTACACCAGACTTATCAACAGCAACCCTATAAGGCAGGAGGGAATGGACTGACATATTCCAAGTCCTGAGAGAAAGGAAAAACAAAACAGCCAACCACAATTAGTATACCCAGTAACAATCCTTCAGAAATGAAGGAGCTATATGGATCTACCAGTACAAGCAAAAACTGAAGGAATTCACAACAGACCAGCCTTATAAAAGATGCATAAGGAAGTCCTACAACCAGAAGTGAAAGATCATTACCTTCATGAAAGCATAAATCTCTCTCAAAGACTGAAACACAAAATAGAAATAGAAAAGAATCAAACATTATCAATAAACTATCAAATAGAAAGATATATAAAAGATAAAGCAAAGAAAAATATTCAAAAGAACTAGAAGAAAATCAACAAAATGATAAGAATAAGTCCTTACCTAACAATAATAAACTCCAGAGCTGGGGATGTAGCTCAGTGGCACTGTGCCTGCCTGCCAAGAGCAAAGTCCTGAGTTCAATCCCTGGTTCCAAAAACTAAATAAATTAATTAAATTAAATAAACTCCAATGTAAATGGCCTAAAATGGATTACATTC